GATTGAGGGTAAATATTGCAGCAGAAGCTAGTTTTGTTATTTAATCTTTTAATTAGCTATACATTTTACATGTTATTTTTGACTGAATGTTTGCATTATATTGCCAAAAGTATTGGGACACCCGTCCAAATCATTGGATTCAGGTGTTCCAATCAACTCCATGGTCACAGGTGTATAAAATCAAGCTCCTAGGCATACAGACCGCTTCTACATACATTTGTGAAAGAATTGTTTGCTCTCAGGAGCTCAGCGAATTCAAGCGTGGTACCGTGATAGGTTGTCACCTGTGCAATAAGTCCATCCGTGAAATTTCCTTGTTACTAAATATTCCACAGTCAACTGTTAGTGGTATTATAACAAAGTGGAAGCAACTGGGAACAACAGCAACTCAGCCACTAAGTGGTAGGCCACGTAAAATGACAGAGCCGGGTAAGCATACTGAAGCGCTCAGCGCGCAGAAATTGCCAACTGTCTGCAGAGTCAATAGCTCAAACTTCGTGTGGCCTTCAGATTGGCACAACAACAGTGCGTAGAGAGCTTCATGGAATGGGTTTCCATGGTCGAGCAGCTGCATCCAAGCCTTACATCACCAAGTGCAATGCAAAACGTCGGATGCAGTGGTGTAAAGCACGCCGCCACTGGACTGTAGAGAAGTGGAGACGTGTTCTCTGGGGTGACGAATCACTCTTCTCTGTCTGGCAATCCGACGGACGTGTCTAGGTTTGGCGGTTGCCAGGAGAACGGTACTTGCCTGACCGCATTGTGCCAAGTGTAGAGTTTAGTGGATGGGGGATTATGGTGTGGGGTTGTTTTTCAGGGGTTGGTCTTGGCCCCTTAGTTCCAGTGAAGGGAACTCTTAAGGCATCAGCATGCCAAGTCATTTTGCACAATTTCATGCTCCCAACTTTGTGGGAACAGTTTGGGGATGGCCCCTTCCTGTTCCAACATGACTGCGCACCAGTGCACAAAGCAAGGTCCATAAAGACATGGATGAGCGAGTTTGGGGTGGAGGAACTGACCTCAACCCCATAGAACACCTTTGGGATGAATTAGAGCCAGGCCTTCTCGTCCAACATCAGTACCTGACCTCACAAATGCGCTTCTGGAAGAATGGTCAAACATGCCCATAGACACACTCCTAAACCTTGTGGACGCCTTCCCAGAAGAGTTGAAGCTGTTATAGCTGCAAAGGGCAGGCCAACTCAATATTGAACTCTACGCACTAAGCCTGGGATGCCATTACAGTTCATTTGTGTGTAAAGGCAGGCGTCCCAATACTTTTGGCAATATATGTGTATGTGTATATATATATATATATAGATATATATCTATATATATCTATATATATTTATATATATAGATATATATCTATATATATAATGCTTTAGAAACTTTAAGGCTCTAGGTTTAGTAATGTGATTTTATGGTCAGGCCAATTTTTGTGAGCAAAAAAGAGTGAGGACAAAGAAATGAAGAGGGTTGCAAAGAAAAGGCACCTATAAGTAAAAAAAAAGGTGCAGAGAGATAGGTGAGGAGGGGTCCAGCAGTAGAGCTGCAGTATGTCTAATCACTCTGCTGAATGATTTTTGCTTTAAATATTTTTTGTGTTTTAAGCACAATTTGATCAGATAAGACATACAGCTGAATGAGTTATGCATTAGCATGTAGAGTTGAACAGGTTGAGTATGTATTTTGTGCATTCTGCAAGCGACCCTGACCTTCACTGAGCCTTGTCCGGGCTTGAAGTACACTTAATCTACCACTGCCTATCACTGCCTATATCAGCCAATCTGATTTTAGCTTTCATGATTTGTGCAATTAGGAGACTGAATGTTAGGACACTGCAAGGGTTAATTTTTTTAAATGCCTGGAGTTCTTCTTTAAAATATCAAAACATTTTCATTAGGGATGCACCGATACCACTTTTTTAAGACCGAGTACGAGTACCGATACTTTTGCTCAAGTACTCGCAGATACCAATTACCGATACTTTTTCTTAAAGGGACAGGTCACATTTTTTTCTAAAGCAATACAAACTAATGCTTTAAGGTCACTTTCTTAATATTATGATTCATGAGATGACGAGGAAGCATGACGCCGGCTTCACAGCCAATCAGAATGCCGGGTGCTGCGTCATTACACTGCGCCCGCCTTCCGGATTTGCTAGCTTCCTGACCAATCGGGAAGCCGGGCAGCGTGTCATTGCACGCTACCCGGCTTCCTGATTGGCCGGGAAGTCGGCTCCATGCTCTCTCCTCACAAGTGACGAGAGAGCATGGACCCGTTCCTGGCTTCCTGATACAGGAAGTACTCATGCTAGGTATCGGAGCATTTGGGCGAGTACGAGTACTCACCCAAATACTTGGTATCGGCACCGATACCGATAGTAGTATCGGTATCGGTGCATCCCTAATTTTCATACAGCTAGTATCTGAATCTTTTTTGATGTTAGTACCTCTGTCAACCCTTGCACAGAAGCACTTAGGCTGGGAGAGTTAGGGTCAACACTTACCAGGAGAGGCAGGGGCAGCACTAATCAGAGGAGGTGGGAGGAACACTAATGAGGAGAGGGAGCGACAGCAGTAATCAGAGGAGGTGGGAGGGACACTTATCAGGAGAGGCAGAGGCAGCACTAATCAGAGGAGGAGGAAAGGAACACTAATCAGGAGAGGGAGGGACAGCAGTAATCAGAGGAGGTGGGAGGGACACTTATGAGGAGAGGCAGAGGCAGCACTAATCAGAGGAGGAGGAAAGGAACATCAGGAGAGGCAGGAGCAGCACTAATCAGAGGAGGTGGGAGGAACACTAATCAGGAGAGGCAGGGGCAGCACTAATCAGAGGAGGTGGGAGTAACACTTATCAGGAGAGGCAGAGGCAGCACTAATCAGAGGACGAGGAGGAAAGGAACACTAATCAGGAGAGGGAGGAACAGCAGTGATCAGAGGAGGTGGGATGGACACTTATCAGGAGAGGCAGGGACAGCAGTAATCAGAGCAGGTGGGAGAAACACTAATCAGGAGAGGGAGGGACAGCAGTAAAGTCTCATGAGAAAAATTGTATATTGCGTATACGTATGCGTATTGTGTATACTTATGTGCGTATATGCGTGCACTATATGCAATCCCAGTATGCATCATTCGTAATAGAAATTTTAATGAACTGTACGCACGTACGTGCGTATATGCATGCACACACGCGTATATGCGCGTAAAATACGCAGAAATACGTTGCCCGGACGCATATCGGGTCCATTCTGTTTTTGCGCATCTTTACGCAGCGCAAATATACGGCTCCATACGCAGCGATGTGTATGGAGCCATTTATTTGCATATGCTGCATATGGGACAATACGAGCGTACGAGCATATACGCAGCGTATTGCACGGCAGTGTGAATGAGGCCTTATTGTGAAAGGGAGGGGCGCTACTAATTGGGAGAGGAAGGAGAAGTAGTAATTGAAAGAGGAGGGGGCACCACTAATCGGGAGAGAGAAGGGCATATCTCGTCATGAGAGGGAGGAACAGCACTAATGGGTAGAGGGAGGAACCACACTAGACCGGAGAGGGAAGGGAAGCACTAATAGGGAGAGGAATGGGTAGCACTAACCGAAAGAGGGAGGAGCAGCACTAATCAGGGTCTGATGGAAGCACTTGTGCTGACAGGGAACCTACTGACAGGAGGAGAGAGCAGAATAAAAAGAGTTGATGATTTATCCAGTCAGCAGACTAAGGGCAGAGAAGTGACACTACTGTATTGCCTAACTCTTACAAAGAAAGTGGTGTCACTCTCCTGGCTGCTGTCTGACAGAAGTGTATAAATCACAGAAGTGGTCAGACAGAATTGTAAATCCCTTGATAAAAAAGGAAATTCACATGTGTACCTTTTAAGTGTGCTTGATGTTCATTTTTTAAATTGATTTTAGGGGTGTAACAATATCTAATAGTAAAGCCATTTAAGACTTTAACCCTTTGCAAGCTTTATTGAGTAGGAGCTAATTTGGTAACCATACAACTAAAATGTTTAAAACCCCGTTGTTGCTTCTAAGGACTGTGGTTGAAGATTGATAAGATTGTAACAAGGATACAATCTTATCAATGCCTTTGTTTTATTGCAGGAAAAAAATGAAAATCCTTTGTTAAGATACAATTGATCACACTGAAGCTGTGAGTTAAATATTGCCTTATGCACAAGACTGTTCGCTCGAGAAAGGAATTCACATGAGGGTTACTGGAGTTTAGCAGTTGGCAGTGTTGCTATAAATTACACCTAACCTGGAACAGAAATTCCTCTGTCATTATCACTAACACATAGCTGCAGTCCCTGCCTAGCCGTGTGATTTTGTCACATGCTTGGAAAAAGTTGCCCTCTCTGAACTTGTTTCTTCTTGTCCTAGTTTGCCAAGTCGCTCCTATTGATCTGTAAAATATAGTATGCATCACTGACTTAATTCTTCTTCTTTGCAGTGGGTGAGCCAATAAACCATGAAGCGTGGGAATGGTTTTATAATGTGGTTGGGGAGAGAAAATGCACCCTCGTGGACACATGGTGGCAGACAGGTAAACAGTGGTACTACTGTACATCATATTCCTTATTTAAAGGAAAGCTATAATGGTTTCTGGTTAGTTTTATTTATTTAAGCTTAGAGATTTTTAAAAAAATTTCAATATACATATAAAATCTTGGTTTTGAAAATACATATGTTATAAATAAATAATACATTGGTGCAGGGCTGTCCCTACACTACTCGCCTCCTGAGGCCAGGTCGCTGTCAGTGAATGGTCATTCTGAGGGGTGGGTTACTGTCAGTGAATGGTTGTACAGGGAGGGGGGAGGCGGCGGGCTATTATTGAATGTTCATTCCGGGGGGAAAAAGGCGGTCTGTCGGTGGATGCTCCTTACCTCTGGGTCCAGCAGTTCTGTGTCCCACCAAGCTCACTGATGTCACTGGCTGCCAGGAGGTGAGCGGGATACCAGACAGAGTGTCTCGCTCAGTTTCTGGCAACCTGTGACGCCAGTGAGCTTGTCGGGACTCAGAGCTGCTGGAGAGGTGCCGAGAGGTAACGAGCATCCATCGGCAGACTGTCTTTTCTCCCCTGGACGACCATTCACTGACAGCCCGCCGCCCCCTCCCATACCCACAAGGTAAGTGAGCTGAGCAGGATGCTGGTAAGAGTGTCACAGGTTGCTAAGACCTCTGGCCAGCAATGGGGCGACAGGCATTTGCCCCACGTGACCCAATGAGATGCCACCTGAGGCAACCGCTTCAGGCTGCCTCATTATAAGGAAGACCCTGGATCCTGGATGCACATCAGATGGTGGTCTACAACACAAAGCCTGAATGTAACATGAGGACTTCTGATGCTGGTCTTCTGCTAGTATGGGACTTAATATACACAAAGCGGAAACTAAACATGTCTTAATTTAGCAACAAATTAACAGTTGCCCTTCTGAAGCGTTGACTCGTGCAAATTTTCCAGAAGAAGCTAATTCTATCAGGTTAGTTGAGATTTGACCATCAAGTTTCCCATACCTACTGGTGCCACCCACAGTATGGATGAAAGAAAGCTTGCTTTTGTTTTTGACAGAACATCCACCAAAAAAACACCCCTTGGCAAAACTAACCTGCCACTTACATACATCTAACTCCTGCAATGAAAGCCAATCACAACCCGAATAAGCCACATACCAAAATTTAAAAAACAATCACCTAAATCTAACTTACAATGAAAAAAAGTGAAATGTGCATTGATTGTTTCATGCAGATTTCTAGTGTTCTTCCATAGACATTTGTCCCTGGAGCTTTATGTGATAAGAATGTATAGCTGGTAATGTTTAACACATGCAAATCCTTTGTAAAATAACATGTCACTTTACCATGAGCCAATAAAGTCCATTCGCTTTTGCGTCTCAGTTAACAGAGGAATTTTCCACTGTTAGGTATTTAATTCAGAAAGATACTTTTTCCTGCTGCAGCTTTGAATTGTGTTTTAGGGGAATAGAAAACATGGTTTTAATGTTGTGGGATTTTTAATGGAAGATATATGTAAGGTTCAGCTACCAAAGCAGCAGGGTTATATTGTAATTACTAGCTCACTTAGCCCCTTGTAGCATACATATTAAAGTATATACTAACATCTTATATAAGAATTAATGTTAATGTAAATTCAAAAGTAACTTTTAACATTTTTAAAGAAGAACTCAGGGCAAACCAAAAACGTACCCTTGCAGTTGGACTAACCCTGCGCTGCAAGAGATAAGTGCTCATTTTTCTAGAGGGCTCAAATAAAGCAGATTTACTCACTTGATCCTTGGTCCCACAAGCTCCCTCCAGGCTGCTAGACCGGTCACCCCAGCCTCTTCTCCCCTGGGCTCCGGCAGTCTAACCACTGATGTCATCATGTCTTATGCAGGTTTATTGATTAGATTATTTATTAGATGTGAGGATACCGAGGGACATTCCATAGCCGATGCAACAGTGAAGGTGGTGGGAGAGAGGTGAGGGCTGACTACTAGGACCAAGGATCAAGTTAACTGCTTTATTTTGCCCCCTAGACAAAACAAGCACCTAACCCTTCCAGTGCGGTGGCAGCCTCACTCCCCACACTTTATGTTTGCCTGGAGTTCTTTAATTCAGCAGCTTTTAATTTAAATAAAATATGTGGTGATCCTGCTATAAAGGTCCTTGTTCATAAGACCATATTTAGACATAAATCTGCTCTAGGCCAACTTAAATGAGGATACCGTTTTGTGCAAGCCCCACCCCTTGTGTCATGTGATTATTCCAGCAAAAACTCTTTCTAGAATGCAATATTAGAGTTAGCAGGTCTGCTTTATTTGCAGGACTCATTTCCACTGTATGAATGTATTTCAGCTAGGTATGTAATATAATACAGCTATAGCTCACTATATACTGAGCTTTGGGTCACAGGAGGATGTTAGTATATGTCCTCCTGTGACGCTTAAAAGAATTAAGAGAACTTACTGGAGATAGTAAAACTTCTACTGACTAGCCTGCAATGTTGTAACTTTGCAGTGGGGTAAGTTACAGTAGTAGTAGTCGTACAGTGTGATACACAGCAGTGGGGACGGGTTAAAACCTCTTTCATGTTTTTAGTGCTTTCCAGGACTCCATTGAGAAAACGTTCCCTCCCTTAGGCCCCTTTGACACTGGCCGATCAGCAATGGATCCGTCAACAGATCCTCTCCTGATCAGAGTGCATGGATCGGATGTCACCGCTGTGACATCCGTGTACGTATAGTTGTTCCTCCATCTTCCAATGGAGGAAAAAACTGAAAGTGACGGACCCCATGTAAGTCTCTAGGGAATCTGATGTAAATGGACATGTGTCCATTTACATCAGATTACCTCCATTCCAGCACGATCTAGTCCATTGAAAGGGATCAATGATCCATCTGTTTTACCGGTACAGGCCGGAACTGACCGGGGTGTAAACTGACATTTGTCTGTTTACACTCAGCTGCCCATAGACTTCCATAGAGCATCCAATCATGGCTGGCTGAAAAACTGACAGGTGACCTGATTTGACCACTCATGTGAAAGAGGCCTTACTCTTCCTAGACTTTGCCTAGGCTTAAACAATATAACCAGCTTCAAGAGGGAAGAAACATGTTCTTGATCTCCCCTCTCCTATTGACTAGACTGCAACATTGTAACATTGCAGCAAGACACAAGAAGAGATAATTCAGCAGGGGGCTGTATCTTATTTTTGAATCACTCGGCGGTAGAACCTCAAATCATCTCTGAATCGGTGCTGACACTGTCCTTCCTTCTGGAGGGTAGGTCCCTGTGTGTGTTGTAAAGTAGCCACCTCTCCAATATCACTCCTCTGATGGACTATAATCTCAATACAAATTTGTAAACTAGTAGTCCATCACGGGAGTGAGCTTGGTGCGGTGGCTACTTTACAACACACACAGGGACCATGGGGAACAAAAGCAGCCACCCTCCAGAAGGAATGACAGTGACAGCACCAATTCAGAGATGATTTGAGGATCTACAGACAAGTGATACACAAATAAGATACATTTTTGTTAATAGTTGGGGTACTTGAATGTATTTTTAAGATTTAACTTGTGAGTTTAGTGTTACTTTAAACATACCGTAAAAATATATCTCTGATGCCAAGTCATCTTAAACGGTGGCACACCATAAAAAAAAGTTCAACATCCTTCTCCATTAAGACCTGATACAAAAAGGATTTTCTTAAAATACCAAAGCAATGTTATTTTTTCATAGCTATATTAGACACGATTATTATTAGTATTACTTATGGCTCCAAAAACAGTAGCATAAAAATATGACCTATCCACCCTTGATTTGAAATCCAGAGACTCCCTCTTTAATCCACTAGACAAAATTAATTTGGTGAAAGCTTCTTTGTAAAAAAAAACAAAAAACTGAAAACAACAATTAACTGCAAACCTGCCATCTATGTTCTGTCAGAGGGGCACGTAGGTAAACAGTGACAGAGGTGGAAGATTGTTGGATACAGCAAAATGAATTTACAACAAATTCTAAATAAAAATAAATATATAGTAAAAGTATTTTTTCAGGCTTACGAGTGAATAACTCGTGTGGTGAGTGGTTTAATTGTCATTACAGAATGATAAGCATCATACGTATTAACCATCTCTGCCTTCCAAGGGACCTACTGTACCAATTACAGTTGAGCTTTGTTTAAGGAGATTTGAAGCGATTAAGTTATGGTAATTAGTGGGGTCTCATTTGCATGTACTTAGTCAAATTAATTTGCAGAGATTTGCCTTAATATCTTTTTAATTTGTTAAGTGGTCCACGTGGATTCAGATTAATATTGTTTACAAACACAACCTACAAACTCCCAGTATCACAATGTTTTTTTTTTTTTTTTTTCTGACGCAATCGTATTGGCTACTCGGCCGCAAATGGTAGTTTAATGTATTAAAGGGTCCAATTAAGGCCGACCCTGCTAGGGGAAGTCTCTGAATGTATCTAATTCGGATCTTCTCAGAATAAGAATGATTAAGATTTGCGGGCAGCATAATCTCAGGATGCAGATAATGGGCAGCATATCCTATTGCTGTGTAATAAAAGTAATTTGGTGCCCCAAAGCTCTTTATATATTCACTTTACTGATAAGGCAATGGATAATTCTCTAGCTGGGATAAATGAGTTGACTTTGCTGAGGCTTAGTTAATTGCTCAAAATGGCTGCTTAGACTGTAACGGTGCATTTGTTTACTCGGTGGATATTCTGTTTTATTTTAACGTAATGATACTGTATCTGATAAAGCTGTGAGTTCCAATCCAGAAATGTACATAGAATAAACATTTACAGAAAACCTTTAAGGAGAGAGGTATGATTTTCTGCAATTGATGACATCCTACTGAAAATGCTTTCGTGGTTAAAGTGGCTTTAATACTTTACGAGTCACTAACCTAGCGCAAGGATGCAGTACTTTACAGATCACTGACTGAGAGCAATGATCAGAAGTCCTTACCCCCAGCGGTAGATGGCCCCTGCCTGCCGGATTGCATCTAGGAGGGGACGCAGGAGGGCCCGACGTCGGAGGGTGTTCCTGGAGATATCCGGCAAGATCTGGATCTGGGCCCCGTCAAACTCCACGGGTCTTTTCAACCAGGCCTGCCGCAGGATGTCTTCTTTCACTGTGTAGTAGTGCAGGCGGCAAAGAATATCCCGCGGGCGGGAAGGATCTGCAGGTGTAGGGCCAAGGGTGCGGTGGACCCTGTCCAGCAGAATGGCGTCCGGAGTGGCCTCTGGTAGAAGTGAGCCAAGAATGGCCTGTATGGTGGGCCGGAGGTCTGCAGGCAGGGTCGCCTCCGGGAGCCCCCGGATCCAGATGTTTTGGCGGCGGTTGCGGTCCTCCATGTCTTCCATCTGCAGCTGCAGGGCCGCGAGGTGAGGGGATGGGCCCGGCGGGGCCTGCTCCAAGCGCTGAACGCGAGCTTCGATCGCCGCACAGGACTCCGTAACCGTGGAAACCTCCGCGGACACCGCCTGAACCTCCTGCCGGACTTTATGTAGGTCTCGCTGTAGTGCGGCCTCCACCCTCGTGACCAGGGCCGCAAAGTCCTCCTTCGTGGGCAGATAGCGTAAGAGCGCCCAGAATTCCCGCGGGACATCCGTCGGCGGGTCTCGGGGCGGGGATTGATCCACATCCGTGGAGTCGTAGAGCCGCGGCGACCGCAAGCCTGATGGCAACCGCATTAGGGTCGGGGAGAGGGATCGGATGGAGCCGCGAGGCGAGGCCTGTGGTTCATCCTCCGTCGCCATATTGGATTGGTCGCGGCCGCGGGTCCTGGTTCTCGTTGAGGAGAAATAGCGCTGCAAGGACGGGGTACCTCCTTGCGAAGGGGTCCCCCCTCTTTCCTGCGTTTCGACATCGTCAGGTGAGTAAAAAAGGAGTAGGAGAAGTCGTGTTAGGTCGTCTGTAGGTTAGTGGTATCACGGAGCTCTCACTCTATGCAGCCTATTCCGCCATGTGCAGGACACGCCCCCAATAATGTGTGGATCTTAACATCAGTGTCTCTGGATGGAGCACAGACCTGTTCATATAGAAGAGATTGCCCTTGGAGATCTCACATTTTTTCCACTGTGAAACCACAGCAGCGGGTCCCAGTGCTCCTGGCCAAAGTAACTCAATCCACTCAGTCCAGAAAGAGAAAATTCAGGGCACTCGTGGCAAATCTCTTTTCTTTATGGTATCAAAAATAAAGAGAAATATCAGGGCACTCTCTTGTTTATTGTATCAAAAATAAAGAGAAATATCAGGGCACTCTCTTCTTTATTGTATCAAAAATAAAGAGACATTTTAGGGCACTCACGACAAATCATTCTTCTTTATTGTATAAAAAATAAAAATAAAATTCAGGGCCCTCACAGCAAATCAGTTTTATTTCTTGTATCAAAAAAACTTAGAAAAGGCTAAGAACAATTGTAAGCATCTGGCCAGCAACCGTTTCTTGTGCTGGATGCCAGTCATTGGCCCTATTGTTTTTATTTGTTTTTAGCTTTTGCTTCGTTTTTCTATATAATAAAGAAAATTGATTTGCCATGAGTGCCCTAAATGATCTCTTTTTGGACTGAGTGGAGAAGGATCAGAAGTTCTGACTCCATTTTCTGTATAATGTATATGGCCAAGGTGAGTAATTACTATAGATCATGCATATAAAGACATGCAAGTGCAATTTTCATGACCTAAATATGTAAAAAAGCCAACAGTGCTCCCAAAAGTCGTTATTACTGTTTGTAATTCTTCCACATAGTGTAGTACAATTTAATTTGTTTGTATTAAATCACTTACAATAAATGCTGCTTCTTGATGTTTAAAAGTTTTAGTTTCCTGAAGAAACAGCTGGTCCCCTAGGCACTGGTCATGATATCCTGTTTTAGGGTGGCTCCTTTCCCTTGCAGGGTCCTATGCAGGGCAGCCATCAGGGGGGTATGGCCGATACTCATGTAAGGGACCCGGGCAGCCTGGGAGGCCCGCCCGTGTCCCTTACTTGACTATCGACCGACGGTGAAGGGTGAGGAGGCGGAGGCCTGGCCGTAGCAGCGCAGGGCCCCAGCATTGCCGCTCCAGCGGCTTTGAGACAAGCTAGGGCCCCATCAGAGACGATGCACGTCTGATGTCGGACTGGCCGGAAGTGACGTCACGTTAGTGACGTGACGTCACTTCTGGCCGGTCCGGCAGCAGAGGAGGCCAGGCCATGTGTGCAGGTAAGAGGAGCCAGGAAGGAAGGAAGGAAGGAAAGGAGGGAGGGGAAGGATGCAGCCCTGACCAGCCCACCTGAGACCCCTTCAGAGCCCACCATAGACAGTCTCAGATGGGCTGTGCAGCATCTATGGCGGGCTCTGCAGGGTCACTCTTAGGTGGGTCCTGTGTCCAGCGCGTCACTAAGCCCTGCGTCCAGCACGTCACTAAGCCCTGCGCCCAGCGCGTCACTGAGCCCTGCGTACAGTGGCGCGGGGGGGCGCCAATCTAAAGCCGTGTAAGGGGCCACAAAATTTCTGATGACTGCCCTGGTCCTATGGCACCACCCTTGTGTGTAATAGTAAGCTGTGTGTGTCTTCACAAACAGAGACACAGCAGGGAAAGTCATCTGCTCCTTTCTCCCACTTCCTCCCTTCTCCCATCTCCAAGCTACTAGATCAATGGCTGCTGGAGACTGCTCTGTCCCTTGTGATCTTGTACTGGACAGGATGTTCAGGGAAGCTGAGCTGAAAAAGTTGTAGCTAGCTGTTCTCAAACATGATGTCTGTAAGTTCTTGGGTGAAAATATAAAGAAAAGAACCTGCTACTTGAATGGAATCCCAGATGTATTAAACTATGACCCCGCTCGGAGCGCCGCACACCGAGCAGCAGTGACGCGACGCTCGGCGAGGTAAGTAAGAAGACGCGCTGGCGCTGACTCGAGTATAAGCCGAGGGGGGCACTTTTCACCCAAAAAAATGGGCTGAAAATCTCGGCTTATACTCGAGTATATACGGTATTTTGTGCCTAGCACATTGTAGTACAATTTTTCCCAAACAGAAATCACATTCATGAAAAGTTTTCCATCCTGTGCCTCCAAATGTTATTGTCTATACAGGTGAACATGATGGTTGATTGACCCCATTGACTATTTGAAAATCAAAAAAAATAATTTTTTTGAACAGAATTCCACTGGTGTATGGTTAGCTCTGCTACCAATTACGGTTATCTTCCACTCAACACCAAAGCCATGTCAACAAATAAAGAACCTCTCAGACCCCATCCACATGGGGATATGTGGCATTCCTGCGGCAAGAACTTGCGTATCTCTGTGGCAGGATTGCCAAGTCTGCTGTGCCCGTTGAGTTGCTGCTGCGTACTCAATTAAGTAAATGACAAGGTGACAGCGAGTCATTGGATATCTACCTCGAACAGGAAGATGTAGCTGCTTGCTTTATACATCACTTTATAAAGCAATTCATCCAGTGCACGTCCTGTTGCCTTCCACAGTCTACACCACAGTTTCATTGAGCCATACAAGTACTCAGGCCTTTCCACCGTTATCCAATTACTAAACGTAACTCATCACAAACACAAGAAAAAGCCACTTCATGTGATTTTCAGCTACCAAATGTAAACATTAAAAAGAATATATGCTTACCTATTAATTGGGAAATTATGTCTTAAAATGTATTTCCGTTAAGCCCATTACTTGATTAAGTGGTACGCTCTGCTTTACAGAGACTGGTGGAATCTGCATCTCCCCTCGTCCCTCTGAACAAGAAGCTGAGGTTCTCCCTGGTATGGCTATGAGGCCTTTCTTTGGCATAAAACCCACGCTTCTAAATGAACAAGTAAGAGACTTTAAAATGTGTGCCCAGACAGTGATGTGACTTTATTGTCATTCCTGTATTTAAATATATGTAAGAAAATAGTTACTGTACAGGAGAAGCCTAACAAGACTGAACTGTGGCTGTTAGCATCATCCATAAAGTGACAGCAGGAGGACTTGGAACAAACTATGTAGTACAACAGGTGTTTACATTCCTCACCTGTTGACAATTGCCTTCATCTTTTTTTTTTCTTTTTAATAAACCAGTTAACTGTAGAGTGAAAGCATTCTCACACTTTCTCAAAGAGGACTGTTTGAATTACTTGCCTCTGGGCGCTCCTTGGCTTTTAGACTACAAGAAGGACTAGGAGGGCTAGGGACACCACTTGTTAAGACTACTACTGCTACTACAGCAGTGAAGACACTTGGCCTCCTTTAGGCTTCACAAAAATATATATATACTTTTAACCGCATGAGTTTGTCAGTCCCATGCCCAACCCCTATTTCGGGGTACTTTTTTTATGTCTGGCTCATTACCTGAGAGCTTCCTAACATGGGTGGCCCTTCTGATACCTATACTCTTCCTGCTGTAGCTCTTAGGATCATTCAACCTCACAAGTTAACTCAAAGCCTGTAAAGCTTTGCACTTTCTTTTCGGTAACTATGTGTTTATGATTCTGTGGATGCAGGTATTCAATGTATTTATTTATCTATTTGTTGAACTTGATGGACATGTGTCTGTTTTTCAACCTTCCTATATATATTCATGTAGTCTGTATGCAGCATAATCATAACTCAATTTGTTCTGCTTTTAAAGATAGCTAACATGATATACAGTAACTTTGTACCAGGAAGATAGTGTTGATAAGCCAACAATTACTACAATTATAGTTTATGTAAATATAGTTAGGCATGTGTAGTAGGATCTTGGACAGTAAAAGGAAAATGTTTTTTTTTTTTTTTTAATCACTAGGGTAAGGTCATTGAAGGTGGTGATGTTTCTGGTGCTCTGTGTATCGCACAGCCATGGCCTGGCATGGCAAGAACCATCTATGGAGATCATCAGAGATTTGTGGATGCTTACTTCAAGCCATTTCCTGGTAAGAATTTCAGCCATGTTGGTCAAACAATCTAGACGCCTATAAGCTATGTGGTAAACTGACAAACATGCACAATAATCAAATAATTTAGTTGAAGGTTTAGTACATGGTTGTCACTTCTACCTTACAGTATTGGGGCTCCATATTTTCATTACACCAAACACATTGCTTGCATGAAGTTTGCATGTTCACTCATGTATGACTGGACTTCCTCTGGAACAGACACTGTCTGTATGGAGTTTGTATGTTCTCCCCATGTCTGCATGGATCTTCTCTGGGACCTCCACTTGCATCCCACGATGTAAAGACATTCTAGAAAGCCAGTTGGCATCCATCCAAAAAACACAAAAGACAGCAGTGTGGTCTGTTCATGAGTGTATGAATGTAGTAGGCAGATTTGATTGTGGGCATCTCTGTAGGACAGGGACTGGAAATGCAAACAGTTCATGTTTCAATGCTAAGTAAAATATAATAAATAAAAAGAACATTTGCCTTGAACTCAACATGATGATTCTATCACTAGATTTATAAGCACCTTTAGATAGCAAGGCAGTAGAACCTCATGATTGAAGGTAGTAAAAGACAAATGGCCTCATTTACTAACCTGCAGCATGCAATATTAATACCCAGAATATTTTTACATCTGATTCAGGGCTTCTGAACTCAGACCAGTGTAAAGAAGCCAGGAGCACTACCCCCTCTTGTCACTATCTTAAAGTGACATTAAACCCTCAGATTTTTTAACATAAAACAATACTGTAATGTGTGCCTTACTATAATCCATGGTTGTTTCCCTTCTCTTTGCTGCTCTTCCTTTTAAATCCTCATGTCTTCTCATGCTTGGGGAGAACTTCCCTTTTCAGCTCAGGGCCTCTTCCTGTAGTGCTGGCTCAGGTTACAAGCCTATACAAACGGATACACAGACACCGTGTATCCATTCCTGAGACAAGGCAGTCTGCTGCAAAACAGAAGTTCTGCAGAGCATGAGAACAGATACAGATTTAAAAGGAAGAGCAGCAAAGAGAAGGGAAACAACCATGGATTACAGTAAGGCACACATTACAGTATTGGTTTATGTTAAAAAATCTGAGGGTTTAATGTCACTTTAAGTAGGATACCTAATCTGGTATTGCAATCAATAATGTAAAGCAGAGAACCCAGGGACCCTTCTTCATAATTCCTGGCACCCTTTAAGCCATTCATCTACCTGTTTCCTCCTTACCCGATGGCTAGGAAGACGAACCTGTGCTTTCTCTATGTATACACTGGATGGTTTGAAGTCCTGAGCAGGATAACCCTTAAAGCTGAACTCCAGGATCCTGCCCTTTTTTGACCCTTGGCTCCCTTTCCCTATGCATCGTATGAATGCTTTAATATTTTTTACAACTAATGCCTTACTTTTAGAGCGATTCATGTTTTTAGTTTATGTGACACCATTAGCTCCATCCTGAACGTCTACTATGTCTGCGTGCCAGGGCGAGCATCCAGGTAGGTGGTGCAAGAAACTACATTTTCCACGTGACCTTAATTCACTGCCGTAAATGCCCACATAGCCTGCTGTACACAGCTATCAGTGCAATTGTTATGTGCCTCAATTGTCAGTAAGTACTGGAATATTGTACCCACCCACAGAAGGAGTGTCACTGCTCTCCTTCAGCAAACTACAGGTCAGAATAAACATACCCAGAAGCTATTTCTCCCTATGGAAAAAACAGAGGTGCTGGTTCCACAAACCAGAACATAGAAAAAACAGGGGGTATGAGGGAAAGAGGGTAAATAAACTAAAAACAAAAATGGAGAGCATTTTGACACTAGGTGATAAATAACATTCCTCCTGGCTGGAGTTCAGCTTTAATTAAGCAAAATAAACTTTTGTTCATTTTGCTATTGTCAAAAACTGAAAAATGTTTAACAAAACAGTCCAAAACCAAAAGCAATGCCACATGAAAACTTTTAGCATAAAAATGCTTCATCCATAAATCAAAAGTATGCATTTGTTTTTAGGCCTCATTTATACCTTAGCGTGCAATTACATTACATAACGCTTTAGTCAGGACTGGTTTTATTTTTTTTTTACTGTAACCAGAAACATGAATGATTCAGATACTGTAAGACTGCTATGTAACAACACAATCTTACAGCACTGGTTAATGATCAATACACTGACTTTGTATTTTACTTCCATTTCACTGGAGATTAGTGTAATGAGCAATGATAACCATGTATGGAGACTCTGATTAAAAAGAGTACTAATAAAAGCGAGACAGTTATTCACTAAAAGGGAACTAGATATATTCAGACATATCTTTTGCTGGTTTATTGAAAAGCAAGAGTAACTAAAAAGAGTAGCAGGAAACACATTGATATGTATAAAAAAAAGCAAAAGAGGGGTAAAAAAACAACAAATTCTCCAGCAACTAATTTTGCCAGCTAGAAAGCTAACTCAATTCAAAATCTTTTGTAATAAAATAGGGGCTGTAAAGTCATTCATTTGCAACTGGCCCCCATTGCCGCGTAGTCACAAGGGTAAACCATTTACAGACCCTATGGATAGGAACCAGTATTGTGTTACAAACAAATATAATTGAGAACAGAGTTTACTTAGAGGTTAGCCTAGGACAGGGGTAAGCAAACTCCTGCCCTCCAGCTGTGGTGAAACTACAAATCCTATCATGTATCTGCCTTTGGGAGTCATGCCTGTGGCTGTCAGAGTCTTACAATGCCTAATGGGATTTGTAGTTGCGCCGCAGAGGGCCAGAGTTTGCCTAACCATGGCCTCGAAAACCAGATTTTGTCAAAGACCTGCAAAAAGAGTGTGCATCAGACAGTGCAAATAGATAAACCTTCAAGTAGACCATCAATTTATAACCAGGACATTATCTTACCTTAGATGGATAGCTTTAGTTGGTTTACTCTGCAGTGTAGATAATAATAAAATAATATTATATTGTGTTCTGGTCACTTAAGATAATGAAGGGTTTGATGGGTTTGTGCTCCATGTTTATGTAGAGAGTAACAATCAGTTCAAAAAAATATTTATTAAATGTAGTAATGATTTGATTAACTTACTTTACATTTTATTGTTTTCTAATTCTTCCAGGCTACTACTCTACTGGGGATGGAGCTTACAGGTCAAATGAAGGGTATTATCAGATAACAGGGCGAATGGATGATGTGATAAATATCAGTGGGCATCGGTTGGGCACGGCAGAAATTGAAGATGCAATGGTAAATGTGAAAACAATAAGTATTAACATAAAGTTATTTTCTATGTTAAAGTGACACTAAGCTCAGGACTTAAATCTTACAAATGCATTCAAGTACCCCAAATATAAAGAAAAATGTATCTTATTTGTGTATCACCCGGCTGTAGATGCTCAAATCATCTCTGAATTGGTGCTGACACTGTCCTTCCTTCTGGAGGGTGGCTACTTTTGCTTCCCATGGTTCCTGTGTGTGTTGTAAAGTAGCCACCACTCCAACACAGGGACTATGGGGAACAGTGTCAGCTTCAATTCAGAGATGATTTGAGGATCTACAGCCGAGTTATACACAAATAAGATACATTTTTGATAATAGTGCATTTTAAATACAATTTTGTCTGCCAGTGTTGTTAATGGTAATGTTATATATCAACCAAAATGAAAACATTTATGTAGACTTGAAAAGGAAGGTATTTGAAGACCACAAAGGGCTCCAGGAACACTACTACTAGATATAAAGTATATACATAATTGCCTTCCACAAAGAAATGGATCAAAGTTTTAGAGTTCAGTCATATCTTTGTGTTTTGGTGTATAGGAGGTGTGCATTTAGTCTAAGTCTAAATACAATTTAAAACCTAGTTATCTGTTATCTGCTAGATTTATAAAGCCATTTAGACTTACATCCAGGCTCTAATCCCCTCATAAACCAAAAAAGTGTGGTGTTCCTTGCATTGAATGTATGACCAAACAATGGTGTCACCCAGCCAACCCAGTCACTTTCCACTTTAATGGAGAATCCAGCAAGGGGGTATAAAAGTCACCACTGATTGGCATAATGAAAACCAGTGAGCGGTGGGGGAACAAAGGGAAGGCGCATAAGTGCTGCTGGTGAGTCTACCATTAAAGTGAATCCTAATTGGAACAGCACAGACTCATCAATAACAAAAACACAAAAAAACCCATATCAATGGAAATATCAATGGAATATCAATGTACCATTTAAGCTTTTTTTCACCTTCTCCTTTGCCTGATGCCCCTTCCTCACCCCTGTTATGACTTTTTCTTATTAGCGGATTGTTGCTGTTGTTACATTATCTCTTTCCTGATAGACATTTTCTTTAAGAGGTGTGCCCAGAACATATTTATTTCTGAGCTCCAAAATTTTATAGCCAACCCCTTCCCCCATTAGGACTGCTTCCTTAGAGCCCTTGCTAGGCTGCTGGGAGGCTTTTTCTTAGTTTGTTTCCCCTTTTTACTTTTCAGCCTATATTGTCATTTTAAGCCCCTTAGGCTTTCCCCCACTTACCTTCGTATCTTTTTCTGCTTGGTTCTATTCTTCCCCCTTCCCCTTTTCTCTTCTTTCCGTTTTCCCCCTTCCTTGCCTTGCTGACTATCTCTAGTCTTTCTTTTCTGATTGCTTCCCTTCCTGCCCGGCCCCTGTCGTTATGCCTTTCACTGTGGACCTATCCTCCAAATCCAGTATTTCCATCTCGATAAATGTGACATCTTGGAATGTTCAAGGACTCAACATACCAGGTCCAGACTTCTCGGTAAATTGGTGAGACTGCGAGTTCATGTGTGTTTCCTCCAAAAACCCACTTTAGAGAGGGGAGTGTGCCCAAATTGCAGAACCATAGATTTCCTGTAGCGTTTCACAGTACCAATACCTCCTCAAAATCTAGAGGGATTAGTATTCTTCTCTTCTGGTCCTTAAATTGGACCTATTCTGATCATGCTGCGGATCTCCAAGGGCGGTTTTTATTCCTCAAAGGTACTATCAACGGGGAGAAGGTCAACCTGGCCAATCTATACCTGCCTAATTCCAACCAAATAGGGGATCTGGGAACATTCCTATCCGACTTAGGGAGTTTGCGGAAGGTGCGCTATTCCTTGGAGGTGACCTGAATGTTGCCCTGGACCTGTTCCTTGATCTCTCACGTGGCACATCCCATCTTTCCTTTGCCTTTCTCAAGCAATTCAAACATATCCTACATGCCTATCGTTTAGTTGATGTCTGGAGAGTCCTCCACCCAGATGCACACGACTACACACATTATTTGACCACACACGATTCTTATGGTGGACCTATCCAGCATAGGTTAACTTGAGTGAAGGTGTTTCCTTGGGAGCTGAATAGTGTGTGGTTAATGATGGCAGCACAGGGTTTAGGATAAGGGAGCAAAGACAGGAGATTGGTAATTCAGTTAGGAGAGCAGAGTAAATCAGGCTCACAATTCAGGATGGAGAGCAGAGTTAATGTAGCTGGCAGTTCAGGATGGAGAGCAGATCAGCAGGCTTCACAAAAGTTAGTAGAAGGAGAGAGAAGGGAGGTTGAAGATTCCTGGCGTCAGGCAAATTGCTTAAACGCCGTGTGTCTGGAATCTCTTGGCTTTAACTGCTAGGGGAGTGGAGCTGAGTGAGGTGACTGGAGCTCAGCAATGGACCCGGAAGTTGTGGAACATGGAGCAAGGAAGGTAAGTACCCCCCCAGCCCACAAGAGACCCCCACCGGGAGTCATTTCTGCCTTTGGTTTGTGAGGATAACGTGAATAGAAGGATTTAATAAGTCTAGGAACATGTACATTAGAAGCATCCGCCCAGGAATCTTCTTGAGGCCCATAAGATTTCCATTAAATACTGTAATTTATTCCTCCTCTTTCTAGAGTCCGAAATGTTATTAATTTCATTCTTGGTCTTGAACAAGTATTGGTGGTGCTGGAGGTGGAGACCTGTTTGGGAATAAATTTTGTTTGTGAGGTTTCAATAGTGCAACATGGAAAGTGCGGTGAATGGAAAGTGCGGTGGAAGAGAGAGACGGATAGTTGACTGGTTAATAATCTTCTGAATTGGGAAAGGACCAATGAATAGACTACTTAACTTCTCCGAAGGGGTTTTCAGGTTAAGATTTTTAGTGGACAGCCAGACTAAATCAACAATTTGGTTGGGAGGAGATTCTCGTCTTCAAAGGTTGAGCTTTTGTAAGATTGGTTTTTAGTTGGTTAGAAACTTTATGTAAGCGTTTAGTGTAAACCTCGGCTGCTGGATTGTTTATTTGTACGAACTCTGGTGGAAAAAGATTAGGATAAAACCCTTAGTTGGAGAAAAAAGGTGTTTGATTCGTAGAAGCACTAAGAGTGTTGTTGTAGGAGAACTCAGCTAAAGAAAGTAAATTCCACCAATCATCTTGAAGATGAGTGCAGTAACATCGTAAGTATTACTCAAGACGGCGGTTTATTCTTTCAGTTTGTCCATTTGTTTGTGGATGATAGGCACTTGAGAGACGATTTTCAATTTGTAGTTTCTTGCAAAGAGATCTCCAGAATTTGGATACGAACTGTGTCCCGCGATCTGAAATTATTTGATTTGTATCAGAGCATTAGAAGTTTCTTTTGAACTAGGTAATTTTTTCAAAGGTACAAAGTGGGCCATTTTTGTGAGAAGATCTACAATGACCAAGATAGTGTTATGATTGTGGGAAGATGGTAAGTCCACTATGAAATCCAAGGCGATAGTCTCCCATGGTTTGTCAGGAATGGGTAAATTTGTTAGAAGTCCATATGGCCATTGTGTCTCATGTTTTGAACGTGTGCATATCAAACAGGAAGAGACGTATTTGTGAACAATCTTAGTCATATTTGGCCACCAAAATTGTGGGCGTAACAATTCCAATGTTCTTGTGCTACCTGGATGTCCTGCAAAGGAGCGTTATGTAGCAATTTTAGAATTTGAGTTTGAAAGATAGAGTTACATAGAGTTTAAACCCTTTGTACAGGAATCCTTCTTCATCTGATTGTAAATCAGATGGTACGGCGGATGAAACTGATTGTAATGCTCGTTTAAGTTCTTCCTTTAGGTTCAAAGTTACACTTATTATCTTCTCTTGTGGAATGATTGAAGTTGATGGTTTACTAGTAGTTGTGGGTTCATCTTGTCTTGAAAGTGAGTCAACCTTCCCATTTTTTGCACCCGGTCTGTAGGTAATAATGAAGTCAAAACGATCAAAGAAAAAGCTCCAACTGACTTGTCTTGCCGAGAGTGTTTTGTTAGTCTTAAGATATTACAGATTTTGATGAACAGTGTAAATAATGACAGGATTGGTAGTGCCTTCTAAGAGATGTCTCAAGTTTTCAAGGGCACACTTAATTGCCAGCAATTCTTTTTCTCACACCGGATAGTTAATCTCTGCTTCATTTAATGTTTGTAAAATGCTACAGCATGGAGTAGGAATGAAGAAGATTTATTTTGTGAAAGTACAGCTGTTATGGCTACTTGAGAGGCATCTACTTCAAGCATGTACTGTAATCTGGGTAGGTGTAGGATAGGTGCCGTCATAAAAAGATGTTTTAATTGTTCAAACGCTTGTTGTGTATCAGTGTTCCAATAATATTTTGTGGTAGTACTGGCTAATTTAGTTAGAGGTTTCACTATGGCGGAGAAGTTCTTAATACGTTTTCTATAAAAGTTTGCGAAGTCCAGAAATCTTTGTATAGCTTTCCTGGTATGTGGGATTGGCTAATTTAGGATGCATTTAACCTTGTCTTGGTCCATCTGAATCCCATTTGCAGAGATGATGTAACTCAGAAAGGAGATATCAGGAGCTTCAAAAATGCATTTCTCGAGTTTTGCATATAATTTATGAGCCCTTAATCTGGATAGAACCCATCTGACGTGTTTTCTATGGTCGATTAGATTGTTGGAGTAGATGAGAATATTGTCCAAGTAAATGACGACACAGACATCAAGAAGATCCCTGAATATATCATTGATGAAGAATTGGAAAGTTGCTGGAGCATTACATAGCCCAAAGAGCATTACTGAGTATTCAAACAAGCCATGTCTTGTGCAGAATGCAGTCTTCCATTCGTCTCCAACTCTTATCTGAATTACGTTATAGGCTCCTTTAAGATCTAATTTAGTCAAAATTTGAGCTGATTGCAGCCGCTCTAATAACTCCAGGATGAGTGGGAGTGAATATCTGTTTTTTATTGTAATTTTGTTCAGTTGCCTGTAGTCAATGATAGGT